AAAAAATGAGGTGATTGTGAATATAAAATCATAAGACGAGATTCTTGTGATGGAACTGTTCTGTATCTTGACTGGTGATGGTCACATGAATGAACACAAGTGATAATATTGCATAGAACCAAATACACACACACACACACACACACACACGATTGTATGTAAAACTGGTGAGATCTGAATAAGATTGGTGGGTTGTGTCAATATTGATTTCCTGTTTATATTGATTTCCTGTTTATGATATTGTACCATGGTTATGCATGAATTTATCATTGGCGGAAACTGGGTAAAGGATATATGTGATCTCTCTGTATTACTTCCTATAACGTGAACTTATAATTATCTTAAAATAAAAACTTAAAAACAGTTACAATGTGTGAACAAAGACTAATCCAAAGGCTACATTTTTTATAATTCCATTTATTAAAGTCCTAGAACAGGCAAATTTAATCCAAGATTAAAAAAATATCAAAACAATGGTTATTTTCTGGGCAAAGTTTTGTCTGGATAGAGATATGGGTTGCACTGGTGTATGCTATTATAAAGAAGACAACAGGCGCCACCCATATGGAATCACTGTGCTAAGCCCCACATCACCAAACTGAGTTTGGCTTTCCCAGAAATGGAATTGCCTGTTTTCAGCACTTAGGTAACCTGCCAGAAAGACCCAGAAAGACCACTGTCATCCCCTAAAGGAAAGTAACCTTGCAATAACCAACCGTTTTTTTTTTCTTGCCTAGAATAACTTCCTTGTACCCTCCCCCTCTGGCTATAAAAGTCTTTCATTTTGTCTAGCAACTCAGAACTCCTTTGTATCTGCTGGATTGGATGCTGCCCAATTCAAATAGATTTTTGCTCAAACACTTAAAATTTTCAATATGCCTCAGTTTATCTTTTAACAATGTTTATATTGGAATTCAAGGAATGATACAGTTTAGATATTTAGGTTTCTTTGTAGTTAAAGATAGGCATGCCGAAGTAGGCATACCACATGAAGTATACATATTCATATGATATAATGATATGCACACTGGAGTATTTTGGGGGAGGTGTACTGATGTCTGCGACATTTTTTTTTTTTTTTTTTTAGATTTTATTATTTTAGAGAGAAAGAGAGCATGGGATGGGAAAGGGGCAGGAGGAGAGGGAGAAGCACACCTGCCCTAAGTAGGGAGCCCTACCCACGGCTTGATCCCAGGACCTCAAGATCATGACCTGAGCCAAAGATAGAAGCTTAACTGACTGAGCCACCCAGGTGCCCGTTGTTTATGTTTTAATGTTTAAGTAGGTTCCACACCCAGCATGGAGCCCAATGTGGGGCTTGAACTCACAACCCTGAGATCAACCTTAGCTGAGATCAATGGTGAGCTACTTAACTGATTGAGCCACCAGGATCTCTTAATGTCTGCCACTCTGAAATGCATCAAAAAAGACAGGTTAAAAAAAAAAAAGGTTGATAGCTATGTGATAAAATACATATAATAAAATGTGGTGAGTATATGGATACTCAATAAATTTTTTCAACTTTTCTGTATGAGAAATTTCTTTTTTTTTTCTTTTAAAGTTTTATTAAGTAATTTCTACACCCTACGTGGGGCTCAAACTTATGACCCCAAGGTCAAGAGTCACTGCACTTCTGACTGAACCAGCCAGGCACTCCTTGTCTGAAAAATTTCTTCATAAAATATTGAAAACTATTAGCTAGTTGATTTTTTAAATAATTTTTAAAAAATAAGTAATCTCTATACCCCACATGGGGCTCAAACTCTCAATGCCAAGATCAAGAGTTGCATGTTCCAAGGGGCGCCTGGGTGGCTCGGAGGGTTGGGCCTCTGCGTTTGGCTCGGGTCATTGTCTCAGGGTCCTGGGATCAAGCCCCGCCTCGGGCCCTCTGCTCGGCGGAAAGCCTGCTTTCCCCTTTCTCTCTGCCTGCCACTCTGCCTGCTTGTGATCTCTCTTTCTCTGTCAAATAAATAAATAAAATCTTTAAAAAAAAAAAAAAGAGTGGCATGTTCCACCAGCTGAGCCATCCAGGTGCCCCAACTAATTGATTTTTTTTTAAATGCAAAAATTCCAATATTAAGTAACAAAAGCAGTTTGGATACACTTAATGTACATAATTCAGGCTACATTATACTAAACAGTCTCTTTACCAAATATGATTATATATAATTTTTAAATATTGACAAGTCTACATTTTTATACATGAACAGGTTGCATCACTTGTTAAGAAAAATGTGAAATTTGTGTTTTAAGAATATTAATGGTTTAGGGCACCTGGGTGGCTCGGTCGGTTAAGCATCTGCCTTTGGTTCAGGTAATCATCCTGGCGTCCAGGATCAAACTCCACATTGGGCTCCCTGCTCAGCAGGAAGTCTGCTTCTCCCTCTCCCTCTACCCCTGCCCCATGTTCTCTCTCTCTCAAAAATAAATAAAATCTTAAAAAAAAAAGAACATTGATGGTTTCATATGAACTATCTAGATTTTAAAACTCCTTTCTCTTATACTATACTCAAGTATGTTCATAAGATTATATTGTAGGAATTGAGACATCTAGCCCATAGTTTAATTATCATCACTTAGAACTACATCAATCACCATAATGACTCTATTATTTGTCTCAGGAAATTCTTGCCCACAAGTAGGCTGTCAGTTAGTACATAACTTAATTGTTAGCTTTATATTTTCCTGAAAATCCATTTATTTGAACAATAGGTTGTTCATCTGGGTAAAAAGTTTCCCTCTCAGGTACTGAGAAGTTGAACTAATGACTCAACTGGAAAAACTCCTTGCTTACCAAAAAAGGAAGCTAATCTGTTCTCAAGTCCTTCATTTTGCTCAGCCCACCAGTCCTTAACTATTATGCCATGCACTATGTCCATTCCCAGTGAGGTACCCACAAAGGAATTGAGAAGGCCACCTTAAACTACCTTAATCTAAACTCCAAAACCCTATAAAAACCACCCTTGACCATCTCTCTGAGAAACTAATAAGGGCACCTGGGTGGCTCAGTGGGTTAAGCCTCTGCCTTCAGATCAGGTCACGATCTAAGAGTCCTGGGATCAAGTCCCACATCAGGCTCTCTGCTCAGCGGGGAGCCTGCTTCCCCCCTCTCTCCGCCTGCCTCTCTGCCTACTTGTGATCTCTCTGACAGAGAGATCAGACAGAGACAGATCACAAGTAGGCAGAGAGGCAGGCAGGGAGAGAAGGGGAAGCAGGCTCCCCGCTGAACAGAGAGTCTGATGCGGGGCTCGATTCCAGGACCCTGGGATCACGACCTGAGCCGAAGGCAGAAGTTTAACCCACTGAGCCACCCAGGAGCCCCTCAAATAAATAAAATGTTAAAAAAAAAATTAAGAAGATTTTTGTCAAAATAGTATTCTCTCTTAATGCAGTAAGTGAGAAATTTGGTTTTATTCCAGCAGGTTATTTTGGCGGTCTTTTTATGAGGAGTTAGCCATAGACAATCACAGTGAAGAGACTTCAGAATGGACAAAGTTTGGGAAATGTATGACCTCAAGCAAATCTGGAGCCTTATAAGCTTGAAAGCTATAAGGCTTACTTATAAGCCTCCACTTTATTGTCTTGACAGAACTCACTGGCGCCATCAATAGATGAAATTAGGAATATAGGAAGCCAGGGAATAAAAAAAAAAAAAAAAAAAATACCTAAAGGAGGAAATCGTAACAAAATGATGATGGAGTCTTCATGCAGACAACCAACTAATGAGAATCCCTGAATGAATCAATATATTTAATTTTTAATCGGTATGTCATATTATAATTTATATTCCTTCGTCTGGACTGATTTTGAGATTATGCCTTCCTATTTTGCATTTTCACTTTCAGGACAAAGTTCTTAGCCTATATACAAAACAAAGTTCCCCGTGGGCCTAGCTCTAACCTAACTACACACCTCCACTTTAAACTGCACTCTTTTAAACCATTAAATATTTAATATTTAAACTAAACCATTACATATTTAAACTGGTAGTTCCTCTGCATTCAGTTTCCTAAATTTGAAATCTCACTCTTCCTTTGTTCCTCACTGCCCCCCTTAATTCCTGACATTTACAACACAATTTGAAGGCGTTCCCCCAAGCCCTTGGGGTAAGGTTTGCCAGCACCCTGTGTGTATCCCTATTACAGCACTCAGGTGCTGTATTGTATTTATCCGTTTACAGGGCTAGTAAACTGAGTTTTTTGAGGACAGATTCAGTAACTTACATGTATTTGAATCTCCCGTAGTTCTGCAGTACCGGGCAAAACTGTGGGGCTCAATAAATGTGTTATAATACACGGAAAGGTGAGGTGGGAGGACTGATGGATGGGTCGGAAAACGAAATTTCAAAGCATTAAACTTCGTAAATTGTGGGGACCATCAGAGCTTAACTGAGTTGCAGGTGCTTAGAAACGCCACAGAGGTGAGTCATGGGACGGCAGTGAGGTCATAGAACTGCGAGGCCAAGTTAAGTCTTCAACAGTCACACCTGCTCTGGCAAAACTGAGGCACAGGGCAAGGAGTAGCAGGACTCCAGGGTCTCCAGGACCTGGAATTTGGTTCAGGCCCCACTTTTCAAGCATCAACCCATAGGAACAAGAGGCTGCAGAAGGGGCCAGGAACCGTTAGGGAGGTAAGGAAGATCCTTCAGAAGAGTAGTGCTTAGTAGCTCCGACCCATAAGCCCACAATCACCCACTGCGGACACAAGGCAGATCACGAGGCAAGAGGCTGCCTTCTGACACAGTCAGCTGCCCCTACACTTTCTCTTCCAGTATTTTACTTTCGAGAGTTCTTTTTCACAGCTTCCAGAGTCCAACAGCCGAAGGGACGAGCGCTGCGGGCCCTGTCGCCAGGGAGCTGCAGCCAGCGCCCAAGCTTTGCTTTCACAGGATTTGGCTAGGCGGGCTGCCAGACAGACCATCTCTCTGGACAACATATGACGTGGGGAGGTGACCTGCATTTCTTCTGATATAAGACTACAGATTATGAGTTCTAAAACAGGGGCGATATCAGTCGAACCAACGACCCAGCTTCAGGACCTAGCTGCACCCGAAAAACCGTCCCTTAGGAAGGGATCCACACCATCGCCCGAAGGAAGGCGCAACCGGAAGGGGCGGGGCTCCCCCGGACGCGGAGCTTCTGCTAGCATGGCTTCTCGTGGGGTCATTGGGGTTTTCCTCCTCTCTGCTCTCCCCCTCTTGTGTCTGGAGCTCCGGCGTGGGATCCCCGATCTAGGTAAGTGTTGGCTTTTTCCTTCTGGCGCTCACAACCGCATAACTTTCCCATGAATGTTGCGTCGAATTCCGGTCTCAAGGCCGCCGCCTCTATGGGCGGCGTGGACTACAATTCCCAGGCTGCATCGCGCCCCCTCTCTCTTCCGGCGCCGAGTCTCTGGGGAGCGAGACTCCCGGGGCATTGCGGTGGCTGTTTTTTGGCGGGGAAGGTGGTCTTCCAGTTTTCCGTGCAAGGGGAGAGGCTGGCAGAAAGCACAGGAACATACGTAGAAACTACTGGCAGATTGTTTTGAACGCTCACAAGGAAATAGGATGGTGTGATGTAGGCCTTCCGTGGAATTTAAGGAATGATACGGAGTCAGAGCCAAAAACATTCTAGACAAAGGGAATTGTGACGTGTTAGAGGAAAGGGTGAACATCACTGTTAATGAATCAAGGAGACTTAGGGGGAGAGTGGCTCGAGATAATAACATTCACTGAGCACCTGTTAAAAGCCTAACTCTGTTCTCTCATCCAATCTGTATTATAACTATGGGGGTGGTTACTGTTACAATCCTCATTTTACACTTGAGAAAACAGACTTAACGGAGGTTGAGCGCGTCCCTAAGGCTTTGAGGCCCTGGAGGAGCGTCTGGCTAGCTCAGTCAGCGGAGCATGCGACTCAATCTTAGGGTTGTGCGTTCAAGCCCCACGCTAGGCGTAGGGATAACTGGATAGTCACTGGATTCTGTGGAGAATGTTTTGGAAGGAGACTGTAGTGGAAGCAGTGAAGCGAGTGAGACTCTTGAAGTAGGCAAGTAGTGATGATGGCCTGGACTAGGATGATAACAGATGAAATGTGCAGACTTGGAATATTTACAAAGTGGAATTAACAGGATTTGTGGATGGATTAATGGAAAGGAGGGATTCAAGAATGACTCCTACATGTGAAGTTGAACAACCCTTGGTAGTTGATAGTGTCAGTGATAAAGGGAAAACTGAGAGGAAAATGGACTTGAGAATCAGTCCATTTTTGGATATGTTAGTCATGGGTTTACATGCATGTCTCCCTCCCTGTGTTCAGTTTTTAAGTTAGAGACCATGATAAAACCTAGCTTTGTATATTTCTTCTCCCTCTCCCCAGCCCCAAGAAGTCAGGTACCTAGAAATGTTGCTGAAAATAAGAACTTAAAATAAAATGCTTTTTAAAAAAAAATCTGCATAGTCCCTCTAGAAACCTCCTACTCACTCAGGCTGTATTGGAATCTAACAAAAGACCTTTATCCAAATTACATAAGGAAATGTTAAATTCACACTTACCTATTCTTGAATTTACCTGCTCCCTTGCCTTTACAGTATCCACCTCTGTTAATTTAGATTCTCTTCTACTTCGCACTTAATGGTTTTTCTTTTTTTAATTTTATTTATTTGACAGAGAGACAGTGAGAGAGGGAACACAAGCAGGGGCAGAGGGAGAGGGAGAAGCAGGTTTCCCGCTGAGGAGGGCGTGGCCACGATCCCAGGTGGGATCATGACCTGAGCCAAAGGCAGATGCTTAACGACTGAGCTCCCCAGGTGCCCCTACTTTATTTTCTTGATACTCATCCTCCAAATATCCAGTAATAGTAGTTAAGTCTATTTTACAAACCATATGTCCCAGTGCAGTGGCTGCAGGGGTGGTTACATGTGGAGCAGTACTTACAGACACTAATACTCAGCTGGAGCTGCTAATTGCATTCCTGGCTGGAAAATTAGAAATCCCAGACCTGTCCATTCACCTGGGTTGTATTTTTGGACAGACACTGAAAAAATGATTCCTATCTTTTTCTAGTATGTTAAAGCCTTCATTGCCATTTTTACTTGTACTTACAGCTAAATATATTAATGCCGCTTCCTCACATGTATTATTCTTTGAAGTGCCTTGTACGTGGGCTCTTGAGAATAAGTACCAAAAAAATCAATTTAATAAATTTTTTTTTTACTTCAAAGATGTGCACACATATCTAGTTCTTTTGTATTCCCATATGACATTTGTAAATTGCTTGCTTGTTAGAACAAAAAGCAGCATAATGGAACATAAATCCCATACCTGAGTGGTTTCTCTAAATACCAATGCTGTAGGTATTAAATTACTTTTATTATACCCTAGATTTAGTTAGGTGTTGTTTCGAACAACACTTGGGTCAACAGCTAATGCTGGCAAAAGTTGGAGGACTGTGAGGCAAAACAAAACAGTATTTCTTTCTTTTTAAAAAAATATTTCATTTATTTATTTGAGAGAGGGAAAGCAAGCATGAGAGCACACCAGCAGGGTGGAGGGTAGGGAGAGGGAGAAGCAGAATCCCTACTAAGGAGGGAGCCTGATGCTGGACTCAATCCCCAGACCCCAGGACCTTGAGATCATGACCTGAGCCAAAACAACTGAGTTACCCAGGTGTCCCAAAACAAGTATTTCTTTAAACAACTTTAAGTTGCTATTTTTTAAAAGGATAACATATATATCAGTTTTGAGTTAAAAATGAAATATTTATGCACCTGGCCTATTCAGTCTGAAGATGTGTGGCTCTCGATCTCCAGGTTGTGAGTTTGAGCCCCACATTGAGTACAGATATTACTTAAACAAAAATTTTTTAAAAATTAATTAAATAAAATATTTATTACAAGTGTAGTCAACTATACTTCAAGAAAGAAAGATTTAAGTATGTATATATAATTCCATCTTTAATCTTTAATTGGACTGATTACTTGCCCTGATTATGCCTGGTAACTTTTGAGAACTACCAAACTAAAAACTCTTGGAGGTTAGAAAGCATTTTTTCTTTTTAAAGATTTTATTTATTTATTTGACAGAGATCACAAGTAGGCAGAGAGGCAGGCAGAGAGAGAGAGAGAGAGGGAAGCATAGAAAGCATTTTTAACCCAACTTTGTATTTGTTCTCTCACTATTAGCAAATAATGTTACACAAAATATAGGTATTTGTTACATTTTTGCTCATCTAATTTTCATCTTTATTCTTTTTTTTAATTTTATTTTTTATAAACATATAATATATTTTTATCCCCAGGGGTACAGGTCTGTGAATCGCCAGGTTTACACACTTCACAGCACTCATCATAGCACATACCCTCCCCAATGTCCATAATCCCACCCCCCCCCAACCCCCCTCCCCCCATCAACCCTCAGTTTGTTTTGTGAGATTAAGAGTCACTTATGGTTTGTCTCCCTCCCAATCCCATCTTGTTTCATTTACTCTTCTCCTACCCCCTTACATCTTTATTCTTAAAATAAGATGAAATACTGAATTTTTACTTATTTCTAGGTGAACATGTATGTATATAGTAATTTTATTTGCAAATGATGGAATAAACATTCAGAAATAGAGAAGTACACAGTTGTATAATTTAACTATGAGAAATATGAATTTCATGTTTCAGAATGACTGTTTTTAAATAGAATGAGAATTTGACAAGATGATACTGTCACAATTTAATTCCTGGTGGGATAATTTCATTTCCTTCTCTGGATAGAGGGAAACCAGAATTTATTCATTATTGATAGTCATACTGTTGATAATGTAGCCAGTCACTTGAATTATACGTATATTCCTGAGGCAGAAGCTATTCTAAAATTGTTTTCTGAAAACTCGTTCTGGCAATGACAGCCGTGATGATTTTAGGTCACAAAGGAGACTGTATGAAAAAAAATCATAAAACAGTTGCATAAATTAACTTTTACTATACCACCCTAAATTATTTTAATGCCTTGCTATTTATTATTAGTATCAAGAAAAGTGTTTTGGATTTTAATTGTACTTTTTTTTTCTTTACCTTTATAAGGCATTAAAGATCTAATTTTGCTGTGTGGTCGGATTTTCTTACTGCTTGCTCTTCTTACTTTAATTATTTCTGTGACTACCTCATGGCTTAATTCATTTAAATCGTCCCAAGTGTATCTGAAAGGTAAGTTTATTATTTATGCTACCCTTTTATAATTTTCTACTCAAGTTTCTTTCCTTTATTGATTCTAGAACTTTGCATAGTAAGAGCTACTTACTGTTAATTGGTGATGTACAATTTCAAGGTAGAGTCATCATTACAACTTTTGTCTTGATTTTTAATGGACTATAAATCCCCAGTGCTTAATTGTCAGATTTTCTTCAAATGAGTAAAAAATCAGCTTGTTTATATACTTTGTCTTCCCAAAATTTTAATCCTCCATATTTTGTAAAGATTTGTATGATGAAATGTATCAAAAGCTCAGTGGCTTTAAGGATTACAGCCCCTTGGGACTCCTGGTTGGCTCAGTCAGTAGAGCATGTAACTCTTGATCTTAGGGTCGTGAGTTCAAGCCCCACATTGTGCATGGAGCCTACTTAAAAAAAAAAAAAAAATTAAAGCTCCTTAATCACCTGTTATTGATTTATTTAGAAGCTATACTCTTTGTTTCAGAGTCAGGAGGGAGTCTTAAGATCACTAAGTCTGATTCATCACATAGCAAGTTAGTGGCCAGACTGGGCCTTCTGATTTCCTGTGTGCTTTGCTGCTCCCCTAATCTTTCCTTCATAAATCTGAGGAAACACTTATTGCCAGGAGAGAAAGTAGTTGACAGAAAGGAGTGTTCCTATTTTTTTTTTATATTTTATTTATTTATTTGACAGAGAGAGAGAGAGATCACAAGTAGTCAGAGAGGCAGACAGAGAGAAAGGGGGGAAGCAGGCTCCCTGCTGAGCAGAGAGCCCCATGCGGGCTCGATCCCAGGACCCTGAGATCATGACCTGAGCCGAAGGCAGAGACTTAATCCACTGAACCACCCAGGCGCCCCGAGTGTTCCTATTTAAAGAGCCAGGCAGGTTAATGGATATATTTTCCAAAAAGATGGATAATTCCTCAAGGGAATACAGTTAAATTAATTTAAATGAAACTTGGTGCAGGCACCTGGGTCAGTCGGTTAAGCTACCATTCTTGATATCAGCTTAGGTCTTGATCTCAGCCTTGTGAAGTCAAGCCCATGTTGGGCTCCACTTAAAATAACTAATTTAGTATACCCAGCATGAAAAAGGTCATACAACAGCAAAAATCCTTTCTCTTGCCGTTCAGTGGCTAATAACTTAATATTGGTTCAATCATCGGAATTGCCAAACACACCCCAGCTTCGGGGTCTAAGCGTGTTGCATTTATTTATTTTTTTAATATTTTATTTATTTATTTGACAGATCACAAGTAGGCAGAGAGGCAGGCAAGTAGGCAGAGAGAGAGGGAAGCAGGCTCCCTGCTGAGCAGAGAGCCAATGCGGGGCTGGATCCCAGAACCCTGAGATCATGACCCAAGCCTAAGGCAGAGGCTTTAACCCACTGAGCCACCCAGGCACCCCTGCATTTATTTTTTTTAATGATTTTATGATTTTATGTTTTTATTTTTAAGCAATCTCTACATCCAACATGGGGCTCGAACTCACCACCCTGAGATCGGAGACAGCCAGGCATCCTGGCATTTTGCTTTTATGGTCATGTCCAAGGGTGACCAAATGGTACTCAAGTCTGCAGTGCAGCATTCCATGCTCAGGTTCAGTAATGAGCTTCTATGCCATGTCTTGGAGCTGCTGAAGCCCTACCAAGGGCCTACACTTAAAATCCAACTCACATGCTTAACCAACTGAGCCACCCAGGCTCTCCCCAGCATAATCACTCTTTTTTTAGGATTTCATTTATTTATTTGACAGAGTGAGAGAGCACAAGGGGCGGAGGGGCAGAGAGAGAGAGAGAGGGAGAAGCAGAGCAGACTTCCCACTGAACGGGGAGCCTGACGCAGGGCTCGATCCCAGGACCCCTGAGATCATGACCAGAGCCAAAAGCAGATGCTTAACTGGGCCACCCAGGTGCTCCCGTAATCATTCTTGAAGCCCCCTCACCCAAACTATACATAAAATATCAATACATGTGAAAGAACTTTTGTTTCAGAACAGACCTTTTCTTATAGATTTTACTTGTGGATTTCTTTGTTTGAACTATCTGCTTATATCTCATTCATTATTTCAAAAATTACAGTGTTTTTTGAAGGGTTGTCTCTCTTGAAATGTTATCTACAGACTCTTTTCAGAGAAAAGAGCATTCAGTTTATCATATTTGGGAATTGAAAAGCACTTTTATGTTTTGCTGTCTTAGAAGAAGAAGAGAAGAATGAGGAAAAACAAAAACTTGTCAGAAAAAAACAACAAGAGGCGCAGGGTGAAAAGGTAAAGCATAATTTTTAGAGAGTATATATAGAGAGAATACAGAATATCTGGGGCATTTAAAATTGAGGTCTATTGCTTTCTATGTTTGTGCTTAGATTTTTTTAATTATTGAGGTCAAATTCACATGACCTAAAATTACCAAATAAAAAAACCCAATTTAAAATGTACAGTTCGGGGCGCCTGGGTGGCTCAGTGGGTTGAGCCTTTGCCTTCGGCTCGGGTCGTGGTCTCGGGGTCTTGGGATCGAGCCCCGCATCTGGCTCTCTGCTTGGCGGGGAGCCTGCTGCCTCCTCTCTCTCTGCCTGCCTCTCTGCCTACTTGTGATCTCCCTCTCTGTGTAAAATAAATAAATAAAATTAAAAAAATAAATAAATAAAATGTACAGTTCAGTGGCATTTAGAACAGTCACAGTGTTGTGCAACTGCTACCTCTGTCTAGTTCCAAAACATTTTCTTTATTCATTTGACAGAGAGAGGGAGCAGGGGGGAGGGGCAGAGAGAGAAAAAAAGCAGACTGAGTGCCACTGAGTGCGGAGCCCAATGCAGGGATCAATCCCAGGACCCCAAGACTGACCCAAGCTGAAATCAAGAGTCGGCCACCCAACCAACCGAGCCACCCAGGCACCCGTACTTTCTATTTGTATGAATTTGTCTATTCTGAACGTTTCATATGAATGGAATCCTATAACATGTAACCTCTGTGTTTGGCTGCTTTCACTTAGCATAATGTTTTCTGGGGTTCATCCATACACATGTATCAGTACCTCAGTCCTTTTTGTGGGTGAATAATATTTCATTATATGGATATATCAAATTTGTTTATCCATTCATTTGCTGATTGACATTTAGGTTTCCACCACTTAGCTATTATGAATAGTGCCACTATGAATGTTTGAGCACAATTGTTTGAGTACCTGTTTTCAGTTCTTTTGGGTATATACATAGGAGTGGAATTCCTGAGTTATATGGTAATTCTATTTTTAACTTTTTGAGGAACCACCAAACTATTTTCTTGGGGTAAATAATACTTAGCTAGCATATAATCCGTTTAGTATGCTATTAGATTCAGTTTGCTAGAGTTTGTTGTACCTATATTTATAAGAGATATTGGTCTGTACTTTTCTTGTAGTGTCCTTCCCTATCTTTGGTGTGAGGATGATGTTGACCTCATGGAATTAATTAGGAATTGTTCTCACCTGTTTTATTTTTTGGAATATCAATAGGATCAGTGTTAATAACTCTTCTTTAAAGGTTTGATAAGGATTCACTTGTGAATCCATGTAGTCCGACTCTTCTTTTGGGGGAGGTTTTAAATTACTGATTCAGTGTTTTCTGTTGAGATTTCCTATTTCCTCTTCTTTATTTATTTATTTGACAGAGAGAGAGAGAGATCACAAGTAGGCAGAGAGGCAGGCAGAGGGGGGGGGGGGGGGGGAAGCAGGCTCCCTGCTGAGCAGAGAGCCCGACATGGGGCTTGATCCCAGGACCCCAGGATCGTGACCCGAGCCGAAGGCAGAGGCTTAACCCACTGAGCCACCCAGGCACCCCTCCTATTTCTTCTTGAATCAGTTTAGGCAATTTGTGTTTCTAGGAATTTGTCTATTTTATTTTGGTTTTCTGATATGATGGTCTACAATTGTTCTAATACTGTTTTTCTAATCCTTTTTATTTCTGTAAGGCTGGTAGTAATATCCTCACATTTCTGATTTTAATTATTTGTCTTCTCTTTTTCTTCATCCGGTTAAAGGTTTGTCAGTTTTGTTGATCTTCTTGAAGAACCAGTTTTGGTTCCGGTTGTTTTTCTGTTCTATTCTCTGTTTAGTTTGTTCTTTTTATAGTTTTTCAAGGTTAACTTCTTGATTTAAGATCATTCTTTAATTAGATGTTTACAGGTATAACTTTCCCTCTGAGCACTGCTCAGAGCATTGCTGTAACCTATTCAAGATTGTGTTTGATAGCTAGGAATTCCATTTACTGTGGCTGATCATCTAACACGTATTTCTTGATCTTGAACTGTCAGACCGAGGCAGTTGCCAGACTGATCATTAACCTTTGTGAAAGCAGGGACTCATGTGGACTTTCATCTAAATATTAAAAACATAAACTATTTATTTATTTAGTTTAACATAAGCCCTTTTACAAAGGCTTGGTACAAGGGCACTAATATTTTGAAAGCTACCAACTTGTTTTCAACTTGTTATCAATATGTTTCAGCTTCTAAACAACGTGTTCTTCTGGTGAACAAATTACTCCTTTTTAAGTAAACAAGTGAAGTCACAAGTCACAAGAGTAAAAGCCTATGTATTTGTTGGGAGATGGGAGATTACTACATTTGTAACTACCCTAATCTGAATTTAGAACAATAAAAGTGTCCTTGCAAGATCTTTTGTAAGAAATTCTCTTGTAAATGTTTGAACTGTATCATGTTATTTCCAGTGGAAGGAACTATTAATTGTAAAGCCCCGCTTGATAATTAGTAAATTATAAGGACATCTAGATGCCACCTCTCCGTTAACCGGTGTCTGTAATTCCTAAAGGTGTGTAAAGTTAGGATTCTTTTGTTTGGCAGAAGTCTTTAACCCATTAAAGTTCTCTCTTTGGACACAAGAAAATTAGTGTCTCTGTATAGTCTATGTATGTGGATGGTGGAGTGCCGAATATGTACCTGCTGATAAGTAAAATTTTTGAGGCTTGGCATTGTAAAATGGTGATTTTTCTCTTCTGATACTTGATTGATAGTTTGATTTGGCAAAGAACAGATTAAAAATCCCTAGAATTTTGAAATATTGCACCATTAGCCTAAAAATTCCAGTGTGGTTTTCGAAATTCCTGTTTCTCTCTTTTAGTCTCCGTTTTTCATTTTAAGTCCAAAGATATGTTCGACTTCGCTGTGATTAAGCTATTCAATGAACGCTCTTCCAAGCAACTTCATGTGTTGGGCGTGCTTTCAACAAACGGCTCTGACTCAAAGCTCCTAGAAGTCAAGGATCCCGTCCTAGGCATCTTTACATCCCTAGCTCCTAGTAAGTTTTCATCGCACTGAAAACTCAGGATGGGGGCGCCTGGCAGGCTCAGTTGGCAGAGCGCACAGCTCTTGATCTCAGGGTCATGAGTTTGAGCCCCACGTTGGGTGTAGAGATTACTTAAAAAAATAAACCCTTACTGGAAAAAAAAAAAAAAAAGAAAAAGAAATGAAAACACACTAAAGGGATAGAGGCAGACTCCCAAATAAGCATAAATATAGAACATTTGTTTTTTATCAGCATTACGTATAAATGCAGATTTGTAGAGAGTGTTGTTGAAGTGGAGGCTGCTGCTTTTTGGGCAAAATGGAGTTAGTATGAGAACACAATTTCTTCTCCTGGTTCCTATTTATTACTTTATAGACAACATAAAATCTTAGGAATGGCATAATAACAATGCCTCTTTTATTTTTTTGAACAGGCCAGCAGATACATAGAGAATGTTCTAAAACCTCACCAGGAAATGAAGCTGAGAAAACTGGAAGAACGCTTTTATCAGATGACGGGTGAAACCTGGAAGTTGAGCAATGGCCATAAGCTTGGGGTTAGAAAATATCCTCCCTCCATATTTTGAATTCTGCTATTACGTATATGCAGTCGATGTATATTGTGTGCAATGTATAAGTACGTCCAATGTATATAACAGATATTGAATTTTTTATTTTCAAATGAGGTTAAACTAGTAATATGGTCTGTTTTTTGGGAGTCTTTACTGATCGTGATTATACATAGAGCATATCTGTGTGTCGAAGGGCTAAATGCTTTTGGTGCCAAAGGAGCGTATAACTTAGGTGCTTGATAAGCTTTAACATAAGGTAGTCTTTGAGAGAACTGTTGACTAATCACCATATTTTATAGGAGGAAATTCAGATCTTTCCTTAACTAAGATCTCCCTGGTACTATAAGCTCACATTTTGCTCATTGTGTTTGACTCTGTTTCCGTAAAGCCAAATTAACCTTTGGCTCTTTTTTTCCCTTGCCATTGAGTCTGAATTTCATCATTTGCTACTGGAAGTTCAGAGGAACTTGTTACAGATACGCATGTGTCTGAGAATCTGGCAATTATTTTGCACAGAAGAAAGTTTTAATGGATAATATTAACAAAAAGTAATCTTTATGGTTTCTGGAATAAAAACTCCTTTGCCTTCTAAAGTGATTAATTCAAAAGAAAGATGAGAGTTTGAATTTGAGAACTTAACCATGTTTATATGTAACAGGATACTAGGGCCATGTTCAGCTATGAAAGTATTTCATGGTCACATACGCAGACATGTTTTCACATACATGCTCTATTTCCACAACCTTTTGAAGCATAATCCCTTGCACTGTCTTGCTTTCTTTAATGAAAGGAGAAAAGGTTATCATCCAGGTTTTCTTCTTTCTTCCATCCTACTGAAAAACTTGGGGATCAGTTAAAATGGAAAGATCCCTCCAACCTTATATCTATCAGAGGGAGCCCCAGAACTGGATAAGGGTAGTTTCTTTTCTTTTTTTTTTTTTAAGATTTTATTTGACAGAGAGTGCACAAGCAAGGGCAGAGGCAGGCAGAGGGAGAGGGAGAAACAGACTTCCTGCTGAGTGGGGAGCCCGTCACAGGGCTCAATTCCAGGACCTTGGGATCATGACCCCTTCCGAAGACAGATGTCTAGCCCACTGAGCCACCCAGGCATACCAGCTTCTACAAGATGTTAAGCTCCATGTTTTCTAGTCTAAGGAGATAATACTTTAAGTTTCTGGGCCACATAATGACTAAATTCCCTTTTTTTTTTTTTTTTTTTTTTTAAGTGGCCTCCATGCCCCATGTGAGGCTTGAACTCATGACACTGAGATAGAGTTGCTTGCTCTACTGACTGAGCCAGCCAGGCACCCGAACTAAATTCTATTTTTTACTGAAATGCCATTGGGGTAAAAGAAATAACCACTGTGAATAGAATAAAGTTGGTAATAGAGAGCATTTAGAAATAGTCTGTTGTTTTTTTGACTAGGGTGACGAAGATTTGGTGCTGGAAAATGAGGCTTTTAAAACATCAAACAGAGAAGCAGCAAAGAGACGAAACTTGCCTAAGCTGTTAACCAAAATCTCACCATCTGCTGAGCAGCCCACGCGGAATGAGGTTCATTCCTAAATGCCTACTCATGTAATCGTATCACTGTGCGATAGGAATACTGCTGTCTGGGCCAGGTGGCACAGTGAGTGAAGATTAGGACTGGCTTTTGATCCAGATGGTGTCTCCCACTATCCTGCAAAGGGATCAGCTTCATTGAGAATCGCTTTTCCTGTTTGATATTAACGTTCTGAACGCCACACAGAAAGAAGATGTGAAAAAGATGCTAATAGGTTTTGAAAATACTCAGTTATTTCTGAGGAGGGAATTCGATTATGTAGAAAGGAAAAATATAATGTTTATTAACCAAAACATTCCTACAGGTTGCTAAGACACGATTAAGCCATATTTAGCAAGTGTCATTTTTCTCAGTGGCCCTGCTAGGAAAGGGGTTAGCAACCATTCACTTTGGAACAGTGCTCAGATTTATTATTCCTTCTGTTCTTTCATATCTTCAGTCCCAAATTAACTCTTTTGGAGGTGGCAAAGGTTGGAAATAGGTCTCTTTGCACTAACTCTTAGAGAAAGCTGGGAGGCCGTATTTTCCCTGAAAATAGTTTCTAAAGTGTTACTTCTCTGTCTGAGGTTTCTTGGTCCTTTAATGGGGCTTGAAGGTGGCAATCAGGTCACTGAACTATTTCTAGCATTTCAAAAAGATCTAATGAACTGTATGGACTAATTTAAAATCCAGGATTCTTTGCTTTTTGTTCATAACATGAGTTGTCTCAAGTTGATGGTAAATTTTGGTTGACTATCACCTGTGCTTTTGATACCAGAGAAAAACAAATGGTTTATTTGATAAAATGCAATTAATGCTGGTTAGATAAAATGCTATAAAACATGAATCTGCGGTATTAAACAAAAAGCATACTTAAGGGGAAATTGTTGGCAACTGTTTAATGAGAAAAAATGGTCTGAACACCTGGTTTTGTAATGGATAAATAGAAATAGGGAAAACAGAGTAAATCATGAAGACAACCAAAGTAAATGGTGGTTATCCAGTCCCCTAGAAGTGCCAGTCAAGAAAAATATGCACTTAAGATGCGATATATATGCACATATGCACCTAAATAATCTGGGGGATCTGTTGAAGTTAATATTTATCCTCTGTTTCTTTAAATAATATATTTTATATAGTATCTTGAAATATCATAAAAATAAGATTCGTACATGTGCATGGATGGGTAGCTATCAGCTCACCTCCTGTTACTATCATCTGTTCAGCACAGAGTTGCTTCCCCAAAAATGTTTATTAATTGAGCTCTTCCGTATTACATATTTTTTATAAATATCTATTAAAAGATTTCATTAATCTTAGATATGCCTGAACTCTGCATTAAAAGGAACTCTTCTTGCTGGGATTTTTTTTTCCTTCAAAATGTTTACATTCCTCTTACAAATCCCAATTTATCTTTAGGTTCTTGATCTACCTGAAGAACCTCCTGAAACAGGTGAAGAAGTAAGCTTGTTTTTTTTTTCCTTTGGAAATTAAATATATTTTGTTTTCTTTAATGTCAAGTGAGTACCTCTTATCTCGGTTTGGGTTTAGAAAGAGGAGCGGGCACCCATGTGTATGAGATTGCACTGTAACTAGGTCAGTTTTGAATGTGGTGTGATCTCAAACCCCTCAGCTCTCGTCCTGTTTTGGAGCCCACCATCCGTCCACTGTCCGCTGAGGGCGGGGCGTTAAGAGCCCTCCCACTTCATGGGGCAGAGAAAGGATACACTGGCTTTTCCAAACTTGAGCTTAGCAAAGGAGTTATTATTTTTTTTTTTAAGATTTTATTTAGTCATTTGACAGAGAGAGCACAAGCAGGCAGAGCTGCAGGCAGAAGGAGAGGGAGAAGCGGACTCCCTGCTGAGCTGGGAGCCCATCCTGGGGCTCAATCTCAGAATCCTGAGATCACGACCTGAGGCACCCAGGCGCCCCCGGAGTTACTTATTCAAACAGAATCAGTATAGGCAGGTGACTTCAAATTGTAGTTTTCCCCCTAAGATAGAGGAACTGAAGAATGCAGCTACTGTGTAGATGTTTGAGTTGAAGGACGGTTTGCAGTTTGGGGGGGCAGGGTTTGACTGACCCTTCGCTCCGTGTTGAGCTGTCCTCTGCCCAACTGTGCTGCAGCCATGTCTGCTGCCTTCCTGCGGTCCCCAGGCGGAGGACCAGATGGGTCTCTAATGTCCTGGGAGCACAGGTCTTTAAAGCCCCAAAGTCCTTTAAAGCCACAAAGGAAAGCCCTGATGGTCTTAGGGCTCAGCAGTGGTTAGACTCCTTAAAAACCGGTTTTGAGGCCACCAGGAAAGCCACCAGGAGGGTCTCATTTTTATCAACACATTCACAACGTTTTAGTTGAGGATTTTGGATGTCCTAGGAAAATTCAAAAGTCATAGTAGAGACAATGAAGGGTACAACCCAGACACCGAACCTCCAGGAGAAACACAAAAAAAGAAAAACAATTTCTAATTCCTTTCTTTTATACCCAACAAATTCAAGTCTGTGCTGTGTCCGTCCTGACCTGCACACTCTACCTTCTCACTTCACATCAAGTGCTGGGTTGGTATCCATGACAACCATTTATCATACAGAAGTAATTAAATATAGCTCAGGTTTGACAGGGAACACCTTTTAGGAATTTACTCTGTTTTTAAAACACATGACATCATTCCTACAGAACAGATTGGTGGGGCTTTCACTATATATATATGTATATGGGGTAGCTGTGATGCTATGATAATGAGCCATAAGAAGATTCCTGTTCTGGCCAAAGCTTGCTTGCATTTCAGAGCAGAGTAATAGAACTAAAGACTGCATGGGTTTCTGATAGAGAAAGGGATCTGAAACATAATCCAGTTCTTACTTAAGCAGTACATTTTGATTCTTTTAGTGTTATTTATTTAGTATTATAACCATCCATAGTGTTATTTTTTCTTCTTTTTTTTTTTTTTTTTTAGAGAATTTATTTATTTGTCAGAGAGAGAGAAAGCACAGGCAGGCAGAGGCAGAGGCAGAAGGAGAAGCAGGCTCCCCACCGAGCAAGGAGCCCTATGTGGGATTTGATTCCAGGATGCTGGGATCATGACCTGAGCCGAAGGCAGCCACTTAACCAACTGAGCCACCCAGGCATCCCATAGAGTTCTAAATAATATGGTAAAAATTTAAAAATGAGAGGACCGGCACCTGGGTGCCCTGGGCTCTGATCGTGATCTCAGGGTCCTGGGATCCAGTGCTAGGTCAGCTGCCTGCTCAGCGGGGAGTCTGCTTCTTCCTCTGCCCCTCCCCCAGCTTGTGCTCCTTCTCTCTTGCTCTCTTGCAAAATAAAATCTTTTTAAAAAGGGTTTCCTGGGCACCTGGGTGGCTCAGTGGGTTAAGCCTCTGCTTTCAGCTCAGGTCCTGATCTCAGGGTCCTGGGATCGAGCCCCACATCCGCCTCTCTGCTCAGCAGGGAGCCTGCTTCCCCTTTCTCTCTGCCTGCCTCTCTCTGCCTACTTGTGATTTCTGTCAAATAAATCAACAAAATCTTTAAAAAAATTTTTTTAATAAAATAATATAAAAAAGGGTTTCCTGACAGTTATCATTTAATAAACATGAGAAAAAATGACTTCCTCATCTGTTTTTTAAATGACTTTTAATATTAACTAACAGTTTCCAGGCTCTTTTTAGCTATTTAACTGTTTAATCAGGAAGAAACGATGTGGAAACCCAATCCGTAAAGCAGATGGAGCAGAAGCTCTATCCCCGCAACTCGGACCTACTCCTCTGGGCACAGCCTATAGAGTCACTTGGGAACTTTTGTTTCCTTCTAGTCCGGTGTTTTTCTCCTCTAGATTCTGAGGTGCCACTGAACCTTCTTGGTTTGGTAGATGAATTTTGAAGCCCTTGTGCAACCTTGATATTATCTAGACAGAAGCATCTAGTTTCTGGTGTCCTCTCTGGAAGGTTCCATCATTGATGTCAGTCAATAGGAAGATGTTCTTCCATTTCAGAAGGCATTTTTATATTTAGAGTGATTTTTATCTGGACCTTTTTTTGGCCTACTACTCTCAGAAATAAATTGCCTACAAAACCCCCCACAAGCTGTTTAAAATTAGAGACGTTTCATAGGAGTAGCCATTTTGGAACCGCAAAGAGCAGCAGATTGGAATTCTTACTTGAACATTTTTATTCCTCAGGTAGTTACTGTTGCCCTCCGATGTCCAAGTGGGAGTGTCCTGAGAAGAAGATTTTTTAAGTCTTGCAGTTCACAGGTGAGGCCATTTGTATTTTGAGAAATATTTTTGTTGAATTTGGCAAGTCTACTCCTGTGCAGTGGGGGAGGCCGTACCACTCTCTTGTCTGGGTTTCCCTTCAGGGATGGTCAAGGGCATTTGTGTGTACTCGGTGTTGCAGAAATTTGGATAATTAGGTATTCTGGATCTTTTTGAACTGTGATTTCTGCATTGTTTTCCCCAGTTCTTTTTTTTTTTTTTTTAAGATCTTATTTATTTATTTGACAGAGAGTGAGACCACAAGCTGGGAGACAGAGACAGAGGGAGGGGAGAAGCAGACTGTCTGCTGAGCAGGGAGCCCGATGCAGGGCTCCATCCCAGCACCCTGGGATCATGACCTGAGCCGAAGGCAGCCACTTAACCAACTGAGCCACCAGGCACCCCTTTTATCCCGTTCTTTTCCTATTTTTTATTTGTTTTTTTTTTTTTTAAGATTTTATTTATTTATTTGACAGAGAGAGATCACAAGTAGGCAGAGGCAGGCAAAGAGAGAGAGGAGGAAGCAGGCTCCCCACGTAGCAGAGAGACCGACATGGGGCTCCATCCCAGGACCCTGGGATCATGACCTGAGCCGAAGGCAGAGGCTTTAACCCACTGAGGCACCCAGGTGCCCCAATTGGTTTTTTAATTAATTACATTTTCACAGCTGGGTAGATAACGATGTTCTCAAATCCCTAGCAAGCAGCCAATCTTAACTTTGTTCCCATTATCCTTGATGGGTTATTAACTTAAGCCCTATTGCTTATATGTAATTTTCAGATCATTCTTTAGGGGTCATTCCTTTTGTTCTAATAGAGTTTTTTTTCTCTTAAAAACAGTGCTGTGTTCATTAGCAATAATTTGGAAAACAGAAAAGTAGAAAAAAGACTTGATCTGCAGTCTGATGCCAAGGCCAATTGCTAATATTTTGGTGTATTTCTATTTTTAAGTGCGCTTAACTATGCATTGTATTAGAAATATATCTAAATGGTTTTCTGTCATGATTATTGCATTTAGCCTTCTATGACGAGCATGCTGTGAACTATAATGGAAAATGCTGATGGATTTGATTACATAGAAATGTAAAATTCTATAAAGAGAAAGTTCAGGGGTACCTGGGTGGCTCAGTCAGTTAAGCATCTGCCTTTGGCTCAGGTCATGATCTCAGGGTCCTGGGATGGAGCCCCACATGGGGCTCCCTGCTCAGTGGGGAGTCTGCTTCTCCCTTTCTCTCTGCCCCTCCCCACAGCTTGTGATCTCTCTCTCTCAAGGAAATAAATAAAATCTTACTACAAAAAGAAAAAGAAAAAATTCAGAAAGTTAAAACTTTGGAAAAAATATTTTATATCTATATATGATAGTCATTTCTTTATAGGGAGTATACTAATCAAGGAAGAGGTAAACTCAGTAGAATGACAGATTAAAAAACAAAAACAAAAACATGAAGGCGGGCACCTGGGTGGCTCAGTAGGTTAAGCCTCTGCCTTCGGCTCAGGTCATGATCCCAGGGTCTTGGGATGAGTCCCGCATCAGTCTCTGCTCAGCAGGGAGCCTGCTTCCCCTCTCTCTCTCTGCCTGTCTCTCAGCCTACTTGTGATCTCTCTCATTCTGTCTGTCAAATAAATAAATAAAATCTTAAAAAAAAAAAATGAAGGATTTCCTAAAGAAAAAAAAATGACATAAAAATGTTAGGCCTCACTTAGAATCAAAGAAGTACAAAATAAATTGGGACAGAATTTTGTACCTATCAGATTGTCAAAAATAAAGAGTACTGAGACGCCTGTTTGCCTTAGTCCGTTAAGCGTCTGCCTTGGGCTCAGGTCATGATCTCCTGGGATCAAGTCCCGCATCTGGCTATTTGCTCAGCAGGGAAACTGCTTCTCCCTCTGCCTCTGCCTGTTCTGCCTCCAGCTGTCTGTGCTTTTGTTCTTTCTCTGACAAATAAATAAAATCTTAAAGGAAAAAAAGTACAAAATTTTGGTCAGTGTGTAGAAAAAACAGTGATTCTCATTAGTTTTTCTTGTGAATACAAATTGGGCCACTGTTCCTATGGGATAATTTACTCATATTATCTTTTTTTTCTTTTTTAAAAGATTTTATTCACTTATTTGACTCAGAGAGAGATTAGTGAGAGAGCACAAGCATAGGGAGCAGCAGAAGGAGAAGGAGAAGCAGGCTCCCCGCTGAGCAAGGAGCCCGATGAGGGGGCTCAATCCCAGGACCCCGGCATCATGGCCTGAGCCAAAGGCAGACACTTAACTGACTGAACCCACCTAGGCACCCCTCATAATCTTTAAAATATATCTTTTGGGGGGGCGCCTGGGTGGCTCAGTGGATTAAAGCCTCTGCCTTCAGCTCAGGTCATGATCTCAGGGTGCTGGGATCGAGTCCCACATCGGGCTCTCTGCTCAGCAGGGAGCCTGCTTCCTCCTCTCTCTCTGCCTGCTTCTCTGTGATCTCCATCTGTCAAATAAGTAAATAAAATTAAAAATATATATATATCTTTTGGTTCATTGCTTTCCCCGTTCATGCTCTCTCTCTCTGACAAATAAATAAATAAACATCTTAAAAAAAAAAAAAGACAAATGATCAAAGATATAGGTGTTTATATGGGGATTGGTTGAATGAAGGTGTATCCAAATACTGGAAGATTATGAAGCTTTATAACCTAGAAGAATGGAGTATCAGTAGGTTCTTGGATGGTAGTTAGCAGGAAAAGTCAGAGATATCTGTAATTGATACTCCAGCTTCCCCCAAGAACATTCTAGTATCCAGCTTTCTTCCTAAGAAGAAAGCAAACAGTCCTTTGGCAGGTATTTTTAGGCAATAGGAAATGGAAGTTTTGACAGTTACTATGGAAATCTTCATAACAAGAAATGTTCTCAATTAATAGGAATAGCCCATTGGAAATTGGGCTATCATAAGGCAGTCACTGGGGCCTGGACATGTCTCTGGTGACAAAGTTCCTGAATGATTTTTGACTAGTGGCTTTGATTTTGATTGAAATAATTTTATTTTGCAGGTACTAACCTTTATTCATAATTTTTAATTGAATAGCCTTTCCATTTCCTAGGGTTGGGGCTTTGCTAATTGTTAAATGCCCCTGCTATCTGTAGGTGCTTTAGTCCCTAGGTCTTCTCTGAAACTTCGGAAAGGTATTAAAGGTAATTTGCATCTCACAGTTCTAGGCGTATTATTTTCCTTTAAACTGTAGATGGTTCTGTTTCATTACTCAATTACATGATTTCACAGTGGAAGAATTATAAAATATCATGATGTTCTAGAGGGACACAACTGTGCACAGTATTTGATAGCTAAACTTTTTATCCTTTAGGTCTTATTTGACTGGATGATGAAAATTGGGTACCACACATCCCAATACAGCCTGTCTACTTCCTTTCCCAGATGCCCTCTGGAAGTGGGGGGAGGCTGGTCCCTGCAGGACATAGGAATAACTGTGGATACTGTACTCAATGTGGAAGAGAACGAGCAGACAACTAATGAAGAAAGGAGAACTACCTGTTCTCCATAAAATCAGCGATGCCATGGCCTTACAGGACAATAAAGGATTCACATTAAAATTATGCCATCCCTTCATTGAGCTCAAGGAGGGAAACACTTAAATGTTGATGTCCTTGGGAACATGTGGACATAAAGGATTAGAAAAGGATTACTCTCTGCATATAATAGTTTTTGGAATGTGCCATCTTATAATGTACCAAATGAAGACTAGATAAAAATGTCTACAGTAAGATAGTCAATGATCTGTATTTTTCCTAGCTGACATCATTTATCACTATGTTGAAAAACAAAGTCATACGAGTCTGTTTTCTGCCTCTACAGTCCACCTTGCCACTCTGACTATCTCACAATTCAGACTCTCTAAAGTCTATTAAGTAGGAGTGTGTGTGTGTGTGTGTGTGTGTGTTTGAATGACAATATATTTATATATATTGTTATTTCATCTTCCTGCAGTGTTATATTCATGTTTTAGTAATACCAAGTTCAACTCACAAGTGTGGTATAAAAAGATCTTTGTTATGGTCACTCCCTTTTTCTTTTCCTATGTGTGTTGAGTCAATTGACTCCTGTGTGTATCGGCCTCTCTTTAATGCTCCTTTTACCTCTTGTGTAGAATTTATTACACTGTATTATTGCTGTGTTTTTGTTTCCCCAAATACATAATTCCTTAAAAGCAAGGATTGTATCTTTTTTTTCCTCCAGAAGTACCTAGTATATAGTAGATGCTTAATACATGTTTGAAAATAATAAGCTGTCTCAACCTCTTTTTTTTTTTTGTCTCTGGAATATCCCACATTGAAAAAAATGAAAAAGATTCATATTTTAAATTAATCATAAAAGGATTTCAAAACTTCACAAAGTTGTAAAAACAAAATTAAAATCACCCATAATCTCTGGGTGCCTGGGTGGCTCAGTGGGTTGAGCCACTGCCTTCGGCTCAGGTCATGATCTCAGGGTCCTGGGATCGAGTCCCACATTGGGCTCTCTGCTCAGCAGTGAGCCTGCTTCCCTCTCTCTCTATCTGCCTGCCTCTCCTTCTACTTGTGATCTCTTTCTGTCAAATAAATAAATAAAATCTTAAAAAAAAATAAAATAAAATCACCCATAATCTCAATATCCAGAAGTAAGTGTGACTAAAATTACAGTTTTCTGTGTGTCCTGCTGGACTTCATACTTATGTACAATTGATTAAAAAAGCAAAAAAAGGACCCCCAATTTTTAGACCCCTTGGAAAAACTGATTATTGTGAAAGTTACCAAGAAGTTTTGCTACTTAGGAATTGTGGTAGCTGGCTCCGACAAGGGGATATTTTTTATGTGGCAAGAGAAACTAGTACAAGAAACATTAAGGCTATTTCCCCCAACAGTATAAAGATGTCTTCAGGATGAATGACTTTTACTGTTGTAGGTAGATTCTTTGGTTTCTGTGGCTGGTAATTTGTCTTAATTAGGGTTCCTTTTGAAGAGTCAGTAAGTGTCCAGTATTTTTTGAAATAGACTTAAATGCAGATAGAAATACAAAAGAAAATGAACAGACGCTTCCATATTCACCTGTTCTGATCGCAGACTTTCATAGGTTCTATCTTCAGTTGTCTGTCCACATCCACGTCCAAGGATACAGACTACAGAAAATGATTATCAATTAAAAAAAAATATGGGGCGCCTGGGTGGCTCAGTCAATTAAGTGTCAGAATCTTGATTTCAGCTTGGGTTATGATCTCAGGGTTGTGAGATCGAGCCCTGTATTGGGCTCCATGCTCAGCAGGGAGTCTGTTTGAGCTTCTCTCTCCCTCTGCCCCTCCCCAACTAAAATAAATAAATCTCTCTTTTTTTTTTTTTTTGTAAAGATTTTATTTATTTGACAGAGAAAGCACAAGCAGGGGGAGAGGGAGAAGCAGGCCCCCGGCTAAGCAGGGAGCCGGATGTGGGGCTTGATCCCAGGATTCTGGGATCATGTCCTGAGCCGAAGGCAGATGCTTAACCATCTGAGCCATCCAGGTGCCCCTAAAATAAATAACTCTTTTAAAAAAACTTTGTTCTTGTTTAAAAAGACAAAATTTTAGTAATTATCAGATGGTCCTTAAAATTTGTGGAATAGTTGCCTCCTGTCCCCATAGTTTCTAACACATAAATCATTAAGGCCATTTCTTTGCATAGCGATACATTTTTCTTTAAACAAAGACAAAACACTGTTGCGTGGATAGCTAAAGGGCTAATGATAGATGTTAATTGTTTCCTTGGTTACAAAAGCTAATTCTTCTGGATGTAGGGAAAGGAATTAGAGATGCCTTAAATCTTTAGATTCTTAGTTAATAATAATACTCTTTTATACCAGTCCTCTTGCAATGAGTTGGAAAAATTAGAAACATAATTAAGGAATTATTATTTTTAGGTGTGATGATGGCATTGTGGTTAGGTGAGAAAGAAAAAGAGTATCTCTAAAGATATATGCTATAATAGGAATTCTGGTAAAATTTTGCTTCAAAATAATGGGGAGAGGACAGTAGGTGGGGATATAGCTGAATAAGTATTAAAGGTAAATGAAAGATACATTGGGTTACCATATACTCTTCCTCCTAATTTTGTATAGTTTCCCATGATATCAACAGGCTTATGATTTTAAAAAAGGACAGAGATGTAAGTTTGTCAACTGATATATGAGAAAGCTGTGACTTAAAATAGCTTTAGATTAAAAAAAAAATAGTCCCAAGGAAAAGTAACTTGAATGCTATTTCTACTTGGCCTGCTTATTGTTTTTAATAATATACTTCAGTGGACGAATAAAATTGAAAAACTTAAAAGACCTGGATCTTACATACAGAATATTCTGAGTCTTGAAACATGGCAGGCAGTCAGAATGACAGAGTGCACTATAACCTGTTTCTCTCTAGCACACCAGCCACATATCTTTATTTAGAGAATTCTCCCTAATTATATTATTCTTCATCTCTATTCATGCTTTACTAGTTTTTCTTTTTTAAAGATTTATCATTTTCTAATCCTGCAGTGGATGAAGACTTGGGGGAGAAGGAGCCCAGCGAGCCACCCAGGTGTCTCGAAGATTGATTTATTTGAGAGAGAGAGAGGGAGAGTGCGTCAGAGGGGCAGAGGGAGAGAATCTCCAGCTGACTGCCCGCTGAGTGTGGAGCCGGACTGGGGTCTCCGTTGCCTGACCCCGAGATCATGCCCTGAGCAGAAACCAATGCAGACGCTCAGCCAACTGAGCCACCCAGGTGTCCCATGCTTCACTTTGTAAACTTCACTGTAATGGCCCGATGTGGCAGATAACTCATTTGAGTTTAATAAATACAGTAGTTACCTGTTATTGAAACAACGTAAATCTCACTTTAGGTTGCCCCATTAATATGCCTGTGATACTAAGGGGTATTTTGTCACGGGAGAAAATAAAAAACATAAAGCCGTCTTTTTCTAAAGAGGGAGGGAACTTTTTCTAAAGGGAATTTTTTTTTTTTTCTAAAGGAAAAAATTTTTTAAATGTGACATTCTCCTTTAAATGCGGGGGAGGTGGTGGCCGTTGGGGAACTAGTTTTAATGAGTTAATTGTTCTGCCAACTGAAACTGAGATCCTAAAAATACCAAGTTCTAAACCATCCAGCAGTTTTGGACTTCTACTCAGGATAAAGAAAGGTGCAAGGATTGCTTCCCTCGCTCCAACAAGAAACAGCTGGATGATACAAAAAAATCTCAACATTTTGGGACGCCTGGGTGGCTCAGTTGGTTAAACAGCTGCCTTCGGCTTAGGTCATGATCCCAGCGTCCTGGGATCAAGTCCCACATTGGGCTCCTTGCTCATCAGGGAGCCTGCTTCTCCCTCTGCCTCTGCCTGCCATTCTGTCTGCCTGTGCTTGCTCTCTCTCCCTCTCTCTCTCTGACAAATAATTGAATAAAATCTTTTAAAAAAAAAAATCTCAACATTTTTGAGCCTCAGATCGCTGAGGCTGCAAAGAATTCACGGAACCGAATTCCAAAGAGGGGTAATCCACTAGGAGGAGGGGGGCACACCGACCGCCCGTTCTCCCTTTGGCAGAACGTGGCAGCCCTGTGGGTGTTCTACAAACAGCGAGGGAAAACCCAGCTAAGATTTTAAACGTGTTTAAAGACCAGGTGTGGGCTTCTGTATCGCTTTGGATGGGACTGGCTGTTTAATCTGTGGGTTTTAGCGCCAGATGGAAATGTGGGAAAACTTGCTGGAAAAATGAAGAATTCCAGACGGTGACAGCAGAGCATTACACCTTAAGGACCTTCTCGGTGTGGGTGTGTGGGTGACTGCAGGGTCCTGACCCGGGGCCGCAGACCGAGAGGGAGTTTGCGCGCCGCGGAAAGCTCTTCCCCACCAGCCTTCCCCAGGTGTTCACGGGAGGGAGCGAGAGCTGCGCAGGAGACCATGGGGAGCCCTCCTGGCTGCAGCTGGGGTGACTGGTGCCTGCGGAGAAGCCAGCCTAAAGCTCCGCTAACTCGCGGGGATCCTTCTCCCCCAAGTCTTAAGCCACCGCAGGCCGGTCAGCAGGTGACCACAGGACACTGGCAAAGATTTACTGTTTCTGGAGAAGCAGAACAGGCAAAAGCGACCTGCCGCTCTCGAGACACGGGAAGATTTATTGTTCCTGGGGGACGAGTAGAAGCGAACTAGGTCTGTTCTTGGGGGAGGGGCAGCGGCCGCTCTCGGACAGGTGTTTGCCGGTGCTGGGGGCGCGCAGAAAACCAGCACCCTCCACCCACCGCGGGTAAAGGCCGAGTTTGGCGGCCACAGGTGGGAGGAGCAGGAATGCTAAGAAAGCCTCACTTTGAAGCCGAAGCACAGAGAGCCTGCCCGAGATGGAGGCTGGTTAGGACCATGGGGCGTCTCTCCCGCTCCTGCCAAGCCCAGAACCCCACCAACTGCAGGCAACGGGCCACCCAGGGAAAGAGCACGGAGAAGGACGCTCTCGCTGAGACAGGTGTGCGGGGGCGACGGAAAGCTGGGTGGGGGGCAGGCGCCCAGAAAAACCTGGCACTCCACCCCCTACCCCAAGGTCAAGGTGATAGCAACCAGCCCTCTGTTAGTGGAGGTGAGGAAAGCGGGCTCCGAGCAGGAGTCCTCATAGAATTCTGTGCCTACTGAAACCGAGTTTCAAAATGGAACACGGAAGACATGCACACGCTGAAGGAATTCGTCACTCGCAGACTTGCCCCGTAGTAAGAAATATTCAGGGGCCCTGGCGGCTCAGTCGGCTAAGCCTCTGCCTTTGGTTCAGGTCATGGTCCCAGGGTGCCGGCATCCAGCCGGCACTGGGCTCCCTGCTCAGCGGGGTGTTTGCTTCTCCCTCTGTCCCTCACCCCACGTGTGCTCTTTCCTAAATAAATTTTTAAAAAGAAAAATTTAAAAAGAAAATTTCAAGTAAGTCTTTAAGGCAGAAGAAAAATTAAACCACATGGAAGTGCGAATTTACACGAAGGAATAAAGCGCATTGGAAACAGTATCCATTTACATGAGTGAGTACAGAAAAGGTTTTCCTTGTTGTATAAATCCCTTTAAGTGATGATCTACTGTTTAAACAAAAGGAAGATGTATGACAATAATAGCACAAAGTGTGAGGGGATAAATGGAAGTATTCTAGTAAAAGGTTCTTATTCTATACATAAAGTGGTGTAATATCACTTGAAGGGAGACTTAAGTTAAACAGGTATACC